CGCAACTTTTGTACAGACTCTCTCGGGGCTGTACGCCCTGGCGCGCTTCTCTTTCCGCAACTAATGTCCCCCGTTTTCTTCTTGCTCTCGCTTGCAGACCCGTTGTCGATGCAACCGCGCTTGCTCGGGCACAAGAACCTACAGCGGAACTGCACCTACAGCCCGGTGATACCGACCTTCAAGGACCTGGCTACACTCTGGATGGCCAAGCAGCGCAGCGTCTTCCCGTACCGTTGCGACCAGTGCGGCAAGGGTTACCAGCATCGCGCCACCTTGCTGAGGCACACGCGGCACGAATGCGGCAAGGAGCCGCAGTTCAAATGCCCGTACTGTGTCCACAGGACTAAGCAGCGTGGCAACCTGTACCAGCACATCCGCACAAACCACCCCGGCAAAGACGTCTTCTCTAGCAGCATCTAGTGCGCTCGTCGTCCACGCGAATACGCGCGATCTTCCGTGGTCCTTCCGAGCCGGTCTTCCCGATTACTCCGTTCCCTTAGAGTCCGCTAGTTCCGATTTTTGCATGCACTGCGGCGGGGGAGGAGGGGGGGGAGGCACTTGTCATTTTGTCTCATAGACTTATGTACGCAGACCCTATCTCGCGGGAGGCTTGAAGACGAGAGAGATACGGAGGGCAGCTCCGTACTCTCCTTCGATTGTCCACACACAAACACGCTGTCTTCGTCTGGCTTTGTTGAGCAGGAGTCAAGCTGGACGAAGATCAAATGCCTGCGACATGGGAGATCCTTTTCAGACGCTGTCTTTGCAGCCTCTCGTGCGGGGCGCGCATATATATAAGTCTATGCTTTGTCTTTACACAGCCGTGTAGTGTCGCGTGAATCTGCATCGTACGGTCTCCTTCGAGCGATTCGCTCGACTTGGGAGTTTCGCGAATTCGATGCCAAATCGATCTGAATTTACTCGCGGAATCTTGTGACGTGTCGACGCGATAACCGTAAATACGTAAAGCTTTCTTTCCCTCGAGCGACTAATTAGCTGACGATTATCACTCTTCCAATGTACGAAGAGAGACGTTTCATCGAGATGTTTTTGTCGAGATTTCTAGGACTATTAGCATTATTAGGACATCAGGATCATTAGGATTAGAGTGTGTTTTTGCATGATTTTGTACGATCTGTTCGATATACGACGGCGTATTTTCTATCCCGAATTACTCATCTCGATCTAGCCTTTTCTTTCCTCGATCCCGAACGAACCTCAGCAAAATGCGCAACGCTCGTTTGTCTTCATTTATTTTCCTGTTTTTTATACATTATACTCGATACTGTTGTTCATGCAACTGTAAGTATCTTCCAAGTATTTATATAATAAATTGAGACGATTCTTTTTTTCACGTGCTTACATGAATGATACCCCCCACACAATCATTGTCGAACATGAGGAATGGGAGAAGCGACGCGATTTACGACAAATGACAACTGACCGCGAGAATAGCGCTCTTCGATTTGTGAACGGTTGCTGCGTTCTCATCGCCACTGTATCTGAACGCGATTGAAAGTCTCCACGACTTGGACTCGCGACTGAGTCGCGATTTCCAACCGACACTCGTTCGCCTCGAAATCACTTACTAACCTCTAACGTTTTATCTTCTTGCAGGAATAGTAGCGTGGTCGGATCAGTATCAGTATCGGTATCATCGAGACCAGGTCATCAAGACCAATCGGCACAAGATCAGGTCATCAAGACCAGTCGCACCAGTCGCGTACAATCCTAATCACCCCCGAAGTGAAAATCTCTCCAAGAAGCCCGGTTGCTTTACGTGCCCAAGATGCGGCAACTGCTACCGTTGGCTGAGGAACATGAAGACCCACCTGAAGATCGAGTGCGGCAAGGATCCGCAGGAGCGCTGTCCTTACTGTCCGCATCGTACCAAGTACAAGAGATTCCTGCACAAGCACGTCCTCAAGATTCATCATATCAATTTGAAGGATCTAGTGAACTAAACGTATTCATCAGACTCTCTTGATTGATTCACAGTCGCTACAAGTTCGTTATTCGCATGTGTGAGAAGTATAAACTTATATCTCGGATTTCTCCCAGGTGTGATGAGACGATTATATTTTTACGTCGTTATCCATTTTACGAGACGACATATGTGCGAGGGAGGGATAGCACAAGTAAAAATGACGCGCATGCCTTGTTTCGTAAAATAATATAGCGGTACGACGATGCAATCGTTTCATCTTACTTGAAGAGTCCGGGACCACTTGTCGTGCACAAGCCGCTCTTGCTTGGCCAACAAGAGCAACGCGAGTAATTCCTTTGCGGGAGGATAATAATGAGAATAATAATCGACGACGTGTATCATAAGGATCGATAGATCCTCGAGATACGGTACGTTATTATCAAGGATTAAACTATCGAATGTTTTTCTCTACGGCGATGTACGCACCAACTTTGCTGATCTCACCCTCGTTCCTCGTGTACACTCGTGTTTGACTTGGAACGGAAACGTTTGTTACGCAGTTTACTGAAACCCTCGTGCATCGTCGTTGATTAGAGTTGCTGGCATCGCCGAGTGCTGCTTGCAAACGTGTATGTTAGAAAACGTTGTAAGTCAAGCCGCCTGTGATGGTGGCGACATTAAAGAGCTCATCGATACAGTGCGTCGAACGTGTTCTTTGCCTCTTGTTCAATTTCCCCGCAAGCTCCCACGTCCGCTGAGAGGAGATTGGTCGCGAGATTATTCCTATCGCTAACCGTTATCTGGCGATGATATTTTCAGGCTCGAGCTATGGGTGTCACAGACGCTGCGGCCTGCCAAGCAGACGTTGAACGTGATCGTTCTCGCATCTCGGGAAGAAACATTCGCGTCATGTGAATAAAATTTATCCCGAGTTCGTCGAAATGTGTGTCACACCTTGATGAAATAAATCTTGAGTACTGATCCCGCAAGCGCTTATCTTACGTAATTATCGCAGAAGTGTGGCTTTGAATAGTTCGCGATGGAATTAGCTCGTCAGACTGTTCCGCCTTGAAGATTCGCACAATCTCATCGTCGATAATCGCTGATAGTTACTTAGCGCTTTTATGCTATTCGTTTCAATTACCATCTCATTATCTTCGTCTTCTCACCGCTCGCAATATAAAGCGCTCCGCACCTGACTGTCGCAGAATATACCGGGTGTTTCGCGCAATTCACGCTACTTTACGCAAAAATTTCTGGAAATTTTTTCTTGGTGAAAATGTCGAGGAAGATCATCACTTATTGCATGTACATTTACATTTAAGATTATTATCAGTGACTTATCAATTTTCAAAATGATATATCTTTCAAGCGGAGCTTCGGATCAAAATTCTGTTGGCATGAAGTTGCAACTTTGTTCGTGGGGAGCCCCACTTTTTGCCTCGATATTTTTGCTAAAAAGACGGTTAAAGAAAAATAATAGCGCTGTAAAAATAATAGGAGGGAATCACGGGACGCCCGGTATATTGTTGAAAAAATACACACGAACTCATACTTGAAGGCACAATTACAAAGATGTATTGGTATATGTTCGGTAACGACAAGGTCTCTCGTGTGTGAGGGCGTTTCAGAGATTGCTCTTCATCGCGTGATCGCATCAACCGTTGTTGAATCTCGCGCTCGCTGCGTACTCTCTCAGACTGAAAGACCCGTAACCCGCTGCATCCTTGGAAGGCTCATCCTCGCTCGCATCGTCCGGGTGTTCTCCGGTCCCTGACAATTACGAAGGGGTCTCCTCGCTGACTAATATTTCTGTTTCAGGTGCCAAGTACACATGCCAATGGTGCGGACGACACTTCGCCTGGCCATCGAGTCTGCGCCTCCATCAGAAAATGGCGTGCGGCAAGCCGCCCAACTTTCACTGCACCGTCTGCGACTACAAGTCGAACTTCAAGGGCAACCTCAAGAGGCACTTGTTCTGCAAACACAAGATAGACATGTACTGAGAGTCGCTCGCGAGCGCGAGCGTGCGCGCTCACGGCACCAGTCCTGCATCTTGGATCATCTCGACCCAACTTGGACAGCACTGAACGTCCTGAGATTATTCCGCATGTGTCTTCTAAGAGCGTCCTGAAATATCAGGACATCTTCAGGACACCCGGGACGCGCTCTGGATGATTTGGTGGGACACTCGCGCTATCTGAGAAGTGTCTTTCAAGTCATGTCTCAAATAAAGTACACGTCTGCTGCCATCAGCACCTATGATCATTGTTCTCCTCCACTCCTGATGACTTCCTGCCGCGACCCTCGCGTACTTCTCTTCGTAGATTGGTCTGTTTCAGGTCATGGCTGTCGGTGGGTAACGAGGTAACAGGTCAATGCCCCAGGATCGAGTAAGTACGTATGCGCCGGCAGACGTTCGCACGTGTGTCGCAAAGCGTCCTTCCTCGGGACCGAAGAAGCGCCCTTCGAGGACGATCGACCGTGATTCCGCGAACGGTCACGGCTCTCTCTCTCTCTCTCTCTCTCTCTCTCTCTCTCTCTCTCTCTCTCTCTCTCTCTCTCTCTCTCTCTCTTTCATTTTCTCTCACTTTCTCCCTCTGCCCGAGAGATTGTCGTATCCTTGCGTAAATTTCGCTAGCCGTCGTCGTCGTCGTAGCCATTTGTATCGCCCATTTCTCAATGTTACGGGAAGTATACTTCTGGGAGCACGCTGAAGCTGGAGACGTTTCTCTCGTTTCGGGGCAGTTTCCTTTGCGCGGCACTCGAAGAGCGCTGAGTCTCGCTGAGAAACGGGTCGTTCCGAGGAGGATCCATTCCCGACTTGCTCCAAGCATGCGCTTCGATGTATAGAGAGTCTACCTTGGTTGCATTCGACGCTTGCACCTCATGACAGCTCGCGCGTCGTCCCAAGGGACGAGATACGAAAAGTCCAAAGAGACCGAGAAAAGAAACAGAACCGGGGAGCCCGTCGCTTCGAGCCCGGGCTTCGTTCGCGGCTCACCTCCGCTAGGAGGAGGCCCGATCCTCTCGCGATCTCCGTGATCGCGCTCTAACGGACCTTTCTTTTCAGATGCGCCCCTCTTTCCGATCGTGAGGCCGCGACTGCACGTCTGCCCCCGCTGCGGCCAGATGTACTCGTGGGCGTCGAACCTGCGGAAGCACCTGAAGATGGGCTGCGGTATGGTCACCTTCGAGACGCACTTTTCCTGCCAATACTGCCCGTACAGATCGAGGATCGAGGCGAGCTTCCTCAAGCACCTGCTCTCGGTGCACAACATCAAGTAGGCGACGCGCTGAGAGAGCGCGACCCTCCGGCGTGATGCTCGTCGAACCTCGACGTCTTCGATTCTTCCGCGCAACGTTTTCGCTCTATGACCGCGGGCAGCGAGTGATCTCGAGGTTCTCGTGGCTGAGGTCGATGTCGGTCACACACGCGCTAGACGGAGCTCTCGCTCGGTCTAATCGCGTCCCCTCGTCGGAAATAGTCCTTCGACGCGTGCTCCTTGGTAACTGTTAGGCCACTCGATTAGTCGGGTAATATCAGTAGGGCCCGATCGACAATCGATGATGTCTAATCTGTAGCCTTCTGCTCTGAGCCCTACAACTTTTGGCAACAGAAAGCGTTCTCTGTTTTCTGCGTTGCCTTGCAACTGAAATCTAACCTCGCTTAGAGCTCAAGGATTACGGCTTCAGGCAACAGCGGGAGATTCTTTTAACCAAAAATTATGTTGAGTGTTTGGGGTTTAGAGCAAAAGCCTGAGGGCTGACTGCATCCATTGTGTTATGGGCCTAAAGACTTTCACTTTCACGCGAGTTACCGGAATTCTGAACATAAGGCGTAAATTTCAGTTGAACAAGTAGTCAGGATATTGCTTTTGGATCGTTCTATTTAGAAGAAGAAGAATAAAATGGTAACTGGGTTTCAGATTGAATAACTCAACCCATCGAATCCAGTTCTATCTTTTAGACTGCACCTGCCAAAGTAACATCCTGACTGGTTCTTCAGCTTCAGTTTATGTCTTATATGCATGGTTACGGTAATTTATGTACGAAAGTCCTGAGTCCTGCAGAAAACGTCCTCATATAGCGTGCAATGCTAACCGTTCGTATTCGACGGAAAGTTCGTGCGATCAAGCGAAAATTGCTTGCCAAGGAAGGAAAGGAAGCGGAAGAAAAAACAATAGCTCGCACGACGCACTAACCGACGGGCGATTATGTACAGCATTTACGTCTGATTGCTTTTAAAACTGTCAAAGTAACGACTTTCGAAAACGTAAGACGCCGTATTGTTATAATATGACACATCATATCAATGACTCGTATGATCTAAGTGTCGTACCGTAGACTTCGCGTGACGTCGTCGTCGTCGTCGCCGTCGTCGTCGTCGCCGTCGTCGTTGGCGTTCCAGATTCTCCAAGAGCGATCTGCGACTGTTTTAGCTTATAAGTTTGCACTCGTCGCGTTTGTCGATTTTTTTCAGATTCTCTCTCTTCTCTCTCCCCTTCCTCTCTTCCCATCTTCCCTGCCCCTATTATATCTCTCTCCAATTATTATTTCTCCGTTCTCTGTATTATTATTCTGAGTCGTAAGTGAGAGAAAGTTTGGTATTCTTGTTCTCTTTTGTTTGCAGAAATCTTGAGGATCGAGGAACTAAATTTGTAGATTATAATTAAGCTTAATTGAACGAACAAAATCTAGTCTAAAGGCTGTTTCTTTCGTAAGATTTCAGGCGAACCGGTTTTGCTTTTTTTTCCAGTTGCGGTTCGAAGATAATGAGATATATCGATATTCTTTTTTATACTTTAACACACAAGGTGTGCTTTACGTTTGTAGGATTTTTCTCTTGATACCGACTAAAACGTACGATTGTAAGTATAACAAAGACCTACAAAATTTGACTTTCTGAAAGTTGCAAGAACAAATGCACCGATTTCTCTTAGATTTTTGGATCTTGAAAATGAACCTGTGTCCTTCAAATGGCTCCATCACAGCAGATTTGCAAGTAACGAATAACTCAGACTCCGAAAAATCGTAATTTTCGATGGTCCAGAAATTGTTGGATTGACGCGATAAAGAAATCAGTGTAGGTAATTCTTATAGATTTTTGGGTGCTCAAAACGAGTGTCCTTGTCCTCCAAATTAGCGTCCAATATCGCGTCAGGTTTTAATAACCTATGGCCGAAACATTAGCTTATGGCTCCTCCATTTATAAAATGCGTTCCATTTATAAACAGCTATCACGCTTGAAACACCAACGATGATCTGCCAACATGTTAACATTATATTTTCCTCGGTGCTTTTGTTCCATTTGCTTCACGCCTCGATAGAATCTTTCTCCTTGTTTCTCACTAACACTCTTCAAGTTTTCAGAAAAATAACCCAAGTAAGAGTCTAGTGTAATTTATAAAAGTAATACACTAATATCAGTATCATGAAATTTGACCAACTCATACACCGCTAAAAATGAGCAAAGTAACGCTTTTTGAGACTTCAGTCGTTGACTGAAAACTCTGACACGATGAGATAATTTGCATTGAGCGTAAAAAATCTGTCTGCACTGATTTCTGCATCGCGTAGATTCATGGATCATCAAAAGTGACCAAAATCATTTTTTTCAGAGTTTGAACCATTCATTCATACTCGAAAACCTCTGACTTGATAGAGTCACAGATGAAGGACAGATCCATTTTCGGCATCGAAAGATCTACAAGATCCACTTACTGGTTTTTGTAACCCACCTTTGTAGGTCTGTGTAATTAAACGTTTCCGCTTTAGTTATATTCTGAACTTAGTTAAGAGGGATCTAAATATACTCGCGTTGAGATTAGAAGTCTTGATTTCTCTACCGAAGAACTTTGTTCGTCGAGATAAAATCATAGTCCAGCCTGGAAACAGGATTCGCCGATTTTCCATTTCACACGAGACTTTCGTTGTATAAGTGCAAGTATACATCCGCAATGAGAAAGAGAATGCGTTGCCCTTGCCAGTGAGTCTTCTGAGTTACGCTGAAAGTTACGCTGAGTATCGTCGCCGAAAGAGAAAAAGCACTTTCCGTTCGCTATCGGTACGGTTAGAAACACTCTTGAAATTTGCTGAACCTACAAGTTTGTAACTCCGACATCACTACGTGTGCGTGCGTTATGCAGATGCGTGAGTGTGTATGAGTGTGTGCGCGTGTACGTGTACGTACGTGTGTGTAAAGTGTGGAAGAAAAGTCTGACTACTTCCTAGAGAAACGAGACGCTAATGGTCGCGTAACGTAACTATAAGAATAGCCGCCGAGGGATGTTAGCAAACGGCGATCATCGAAGACTATACATATGTAACGATCGTGAGGTTAACTCGATAATGTTTAAGGAAATGGCCGGGGGGAGGGGAGGGGAAGGGGTGAACGTAAACTTAGGGGTATGTTGTCGATGGAGTGACATTTTTTAACGCGATTAGTAATATGTCCTTGACTGTCGATTATCGTGCATCATCATAGAGAGACTGCTCGACTCATAGTGCAATTTGACTGTAAATTACGCTAGCTATGAAAACTACTACACTCTTAGCCATGTGGTGTAGCGGATCTTAGGACGACAGTTACTTACACTTAAACGGCGTATGAACGGCGATTGAACGTATCTCACAGAAGAGCCAGCAATTTCTTTTACGATAGGTAATAATCACATGGTAGGCAATAAGCATGCGCATCCGTGGCCTCTTTTACGATACACACACGACTTTGTCTAACGTAAACATTGATATACTAGAGCTTTGTACCGCATACGACGCCCGGTTTTCGTTTAACGGACTGTTTTTACGACGACAATTTACGTGCAATAATGAGACACGCGCGAGAAAGCGATATTCACATCGTAGACTGTAGATGACTCTTATAGTTGGACATTCGAAGCGCTATATCGTCCCATAAATCACATTAATCACTCGTCGAAATTTGAGGAAGGGAAACTTCTAACTGCGACATCTCGTAACATAGGAGCAACAAATTAACATCCTTTCGAGTTAAACGTTTCAGCTGATTAAATGTAACGAAAGCGTATCCTATACGTAAAAGCCTCGTAAACAGAAGAAGAAAGAGAAGCAGAAGGAAAAGAAGAAGACGAAGAAGAAAATGAAGAAGAGAAAGAAGAAGAAGGTACAGGTGCGGAGGTTCGCGGAGAAACGCGCGGTCGAAAAACGCGTTCGACGTATACCGACGAGATGAAGATTCACGTAATCGTGCCAGCGAGAAAATTCGCATCGGTGCTCTCTCTTTCTCTCTTTCTCTCTCTTCCTTTCTCTCTCTCTCTCTCTCTCTCTCTCTCTCTCTCTCTCTCTCTCTCTCTCTCTCTATCTCTCTCCCTCTCTCTCTCTATCTCTATCTCTAGCTCTCTCCGTCTCGCCGCATTATCCTTATTCTTGCAAAATTCATTATCATACTCGCGAACGATCACGTACAGTCGGCAGACGAGACACAAAATCGAGGAATGTGCGAACCAAATCTGTCTACGAGACGTACCGCTAATGTACTTTATCCAGTCGGTAGATCAGTAGATCGATAGATCCATATAGATCGAGATTGAGGCAGACGTCGCGTCGGCTGCGCCGCGCCGCGCAGCGATTAAGTGTTTGTGTAACGATGTTTCGCATTCGTTTGCTTTCTAAATAAATACCTGTGTACATATTTGCAGCCAGGAGAATGTTCTTCGCATCAATGCATCCTTCATTCTTTGTTTCTACGCGCGTGACGAATCGTCTGGGGTCTTGTGTGCGCTGCATGTGGTCACGAGTCATCTTCGCGTTCCCACCGGTCGAAGGTTTCGTCAACGGAAATCCGCTCTTTCTTTTATTTCCGGAAATTGATGTCCCTCTCTCTTTCCTCGTTTCTCCCTTAACCGTGACCTTCTCCGTGACTGCTACTACAGGATGTCCCGGTCACCCCAACGAGCTTTAATTTTATGATGATTCCCAAACTATGTACGGCCCTGATACCTTCAGTACTCTCCGACTTGTCTTTCTTTCCGTCCTTTATTTTGACGTTAAAAATAACGAAAAATAACGCTGTACCGGTTACGGGTCAATCCTTAGAGATCATTCCGAGACTTGAGTTTTTGGTCAACGCTAAAGCTCCCTAGTTACAGTGTCCTAACATTCATTATTTCATTATAAATTACCCCTAAAGCATCGATCAAGTGCATGCCATGTCATGACTCGCCTCGCCTCGCAAGAATCCAAGTTCTCCAAGTTCGCCGGATGTCGTCGCAGCTGTAGTTCTCTTCTCTGCAGCACACTTTTCCTGTCCCAAAGACCAGACCAAAAATTACGCCGACAATCACTAACGACAACATAATATTTTCCATAGTTCTTTCTTTTTGTTCACTGTTACACGCGAAGCGGTGAAGCATACCGCGGGCATGGCGGACTAGTTCCAGGTCCCGGCCACACATAGGTATGAAACGTACTGCGAGAATGTCGATGTTTGTCGTATATGTTGTCTAGACGTAAACCGCTAATCTTTAAGTAAAGAGGATCGCTCAAAGTCAGATCCGAAGCTCGCTCTCGAGCTGCTGCTCCCGCAACTTCGGTGTCTTCGACGTGTACATGACGTGACGGCTTTTGTGTTTCAGGTCGGGTTGTCGCCTGGGAGGCCTATCGGATCCCGATTACAGGCTCTGGCAGCAATTCTACGAGCGACGTCAGTCGAAAAAGCAGGCTTAGGCATGTGGATCAGATCGCGGGTAGGTATAAGTGCTCGAAATGCAGCAAGTCGTATCGGTGGAAGCATCACCTCGTAGAGCACGTGAGAGCCTCCTGTGGTCAGAAGAAGGCCGAGTGCTGTCCGTACTGCAGCTACAAGAGCAATCGCAAATGGAACCTGAAGTCGCACATAAAGAGGATCCACGCGGATGCATGAGGACTGGCTGCTTCCTGACGACGATGACGATGTTTACGCCAAAATTACATTATACCTTATCGTATCTAGGGACGGATTTATATTGAGATTAGCTGAGAAGCATCCGAGCCCCTTTCCCCTTCTCCTCTTCCTCCTCCTCCTCATCGGAAGGAGGTTTCACACATTTTATAGTATTTTATATAAATTGAATTTTCTAACGGTTTATTCAATCTTTACAAAAATTACTTTGACACATTTTTATAAAATTAATTTTCATAAAAATGTAATTTTTCAAAATTAATTTTTATAAAAATGTATCTCTATGAAATACTATGCATTATATAGAAAAATGTTTCATGTTTATAGTTTCCATGAATATTATAGATTATGTATTAGGCCTTTAACCAAGTTCTGCGAATTTTTCGCTCAAAAGTATTTATTAAAATCAAATGGTTACAATTTTTTTTCCCAGAATAATTGTCGCCAGTTTGTGCAATCTTCTGCCATTTATCAGGCGAGAGTTGGATTCCACGGCGATAGAGATTCCAGCCTCCGGGTGGTCGTCTTTTGAAAAACAAAATGGCCACAAATGTACAAAATATTCTCTCATTAAACACTAACGCCACTTCAAAGTGATCCGCAGACCTTAAAAGTTAGACACCTAATACAAATTTCATTCGTTTTGTATATTCACACACATGTACATCTCGATTTTATCACAAGCAATTAAGGGGCCCCCGAAGTATTATTAGTCCCCGAATAGTCACCACTCGCCCCCTGATCGTATCGACATTATTCATGACTTGTATGACTTGTTTGAATATATGACGATTATGTACATATAAGAATCTTCAACGATCACCTTGATGTTTCTTCAATAAAACATCTGCGCATTTTACTCAAATTCTTGCTGACTGACTCGTTGTTCCGGCCTGCTTGAAACTTGGGAAACGTATCGTCTCATCGCTCAGAATCGCATAAACAAATCTTTGGCATCCGTTAGCGTTTCGTCGTTCGCAACTCGTCATGTTGCTTACGAGAGCGAACGAACGAAGAAGGAGGATACACGATTTTTTCCATGAACACCCATGTTCTTCCCCTTTAATTCATTCGCGCGGAATTGTCACAAATACGAGCAAGGTTTCCTCTCGATTTGACGTTTGTCGAGCGCCTCGATCCGCCTCGGCCCGTCTTGAATATGACTCGTCAGTTTCCCTCCGCGAAGAATGTCGCGCGAGGAGGAGGACTCTGTCGAACTCGTCGCCTTCCAGTGCTCGAGTCCGCGCAAGCACGTGTACTTTATTCGCATTTTCTTCGTGTTTCAGGAACGTACGCTTACGAATGGCACTTACAAAACCCGACGTATAAGAGATGCGTGTCGGAAGAGATGATGAGGGCGATTGAGGCCGTCGCCAACGGGATGTCCCTGAGGAAGGCCGCGCAGATACACTCCACGTCCACTCGCCACATATCCAAATCGCTTTTACATCGATACAGTAAAGAATTCCTCCCCGATTCGATGCGGAGGACCAACTCGAGGAAATATGAAGCATGAGCACAAATTTAGAGGCACGCATGAGACACGGGATGATTCTCAGGATAATCCGGAGAAGAATAAGAATAATTTTTTAACGAATAAGACCTTGATTGGCACGCCATTTCACTCTATATTCTCGCATCGAAATTGGACATTAGGACTACAAGGTGTCCGGAATGTTTTGAAAATGAAAAATTGTGAAAATTAATCAGACCAAACTGAGAAGAAAAATCATGTATCATTTTGCCGAAATCGCGATAGTTATTAAATTATCAATGATTTACGGCTCTTTTAGTCGATAACTTGAAAATTTGCATACTTATTTGCACAGTGATAAAGGACTTTTTGTTCAGAATAAAATCTAATTTACAATTATATAACATCTTGAATCTTGAACCTGTCACTAGCCACAATAACCGTCATATAATTGTAGATTAGATCGTTCTGAACAAAAAAGTCTTGTATATATTCTAAATCGATTGTGATTACGTACGATGACACGTACGACATGTAATTGTGAATGCGCGACGATATAATCATTGGTGACGTAATAAAGAATGACCCTGGACGTTGATAAATGTTCATTTTTTTTATTGATGTTTTCACTTTTATTAAGGTGTGTAATGGAGAATTTTGCCTCTTTTATTATTCCGGTCTCTTTTACACACCATGTCGTTATTATATTGTGTCATATTTTTATGGTCTCATGGTTGATGAGTACCGGTCGGAATAAAAATGTGAAAACTGATTTTTGTGTCACGTAGAACTGCTGAACAAATTGATCTCGAATTGACGAATGTACCGCCCGACTTGCACAGTCCGCGGCAAAGGTGTTGATTCGGCCGGCCGCCCTGTTAACTATCGATTCGCCGTGGAAGGACGGACGGAGGGAAACGCGACCGCACCCGAGTCGATTGAGGAATCCCTACTAACCGTTCTGGATGTATTTGTTGCAGTTTCGATACGCTCAGCGTGTGTTACCGATGTCCACACTCTGTCGCAAAGTTTGTCGCTGCGCAAAACATTCTTAGCCCTACGCTAAGCGGCCGAGGGTCCCACGTGCGCCACACAGCTGATCGCTCTGACGTGGCAGAAACGGCGGCAGTGTCATTTGGTCATCTCCGACGTCCTCGCCAAAGTCTCGACCGGACTTCGCCGCTCTAAGTCCCGACCCGACCGTTATGGTGATTCGCACTGATTTTAAAGTCAGAGAGGCCACAGCGTCCATGAAATGCACTCCGGCGATTGTGAGAGCCCCGGATGAT